TTGCGTTATTATTACTAAACCTTTTTCTCAGTGTATCAGGTGCGACAGCGAACTGTTCGCTGCGGCTTAGAAATTCACAGTTACGGCAGCGACATATTTTTAGCGAGTCACGATCAGCTACGGTAGCGAAAATTGTTTTTTCCCCAGTGCACAAGTATTAATTGACGTGAGTGTGAATTAGCACGAGACGTAACGCCGACATTTGCCGTCGCGGCATTTTTGTCTTTCATAAAAATGGCCGCGGATCCTTCGTCTCACCGTCAGAATCGTCAGACCCCCGTTTTCTCCAGGAGCGTAAATCCCGCGTACTTTATACGTAGAGTTACGTGCGTCCACACACGGCGTGTTTACGTAACCCGTAATGATCTCGGCGTAAACGACGGAATCCGCGAGGCGTCTGGCGCGCGCGCGCGCGCGCGCGCGAATTTCTTGGCGCAGCGGCGGCGGCGAGTGTCGCGCGAGGAAAATCACACGCGGGGCCGGAATCATGGTGCGCAGGTTAACGAGTGACCGTCGGCCGTGCGCGCGGAACCCCGGAATGGTGGTGGTCGACCGCCTGTTACAGCGTCGGCGGCGTACGACGGTGCCTATGGTGGTAGTGGTAGCCGGTGATGGCTAGTGGCTGGCGCCGCCGGACGTTCAACAATGGTCGCGCCCCCCTGCCCGTCTCCCTTTTACACTCCCCTCGGGCTCCGCCGACGCGACGCCGCCGCGCCGCGCCGGTCGCACTAGTCGTCAAACACCCCCGACTACTGATAGCTTCGAATCGGATCCCGGCGTGCGATTCACGCGCGAGAGTCTCGCGGCGGGACGCGTCGGTCTTGGGGCCAATTTTGTATCTTGCGACATGTCCCCAATGAGATTTTTAATGCTTCACCGACGTTGATTAACTTTAAGCTTAGCTTTCCATCTGTTATCTTAGAGAGAGGCAAACGTGAATTGAACTAACGATTGAAGTTAAGCGACGTTTGGTGAAACGGGGCTTGAGGCCCGGCTTCATCGACGTTGACTAACTTTAGGCTTAGCTTAATTCGTCCTTTGTCTCTTTCTAAGGTAACAGTTGGAACCATTTGCAGTTGCGATTGACCAATCGCAGTTGATTATCCTTCTCACGTTCGATCGTGAGAGATCACTTTCTTAAATCTTACGTCTTAGGCACAGCTTCACCAACGTTGTTTAACCTTAAACCTAGCTTAATTCGTTCTTTGTCTCTTTCCAACTGTTACTTTAGAAAGAGACAAACTTGAATTAAACTGAGATTAAACTAAGATTAAGCGACGTTTGGTGAAACCGGGCCTAAGAATTAAAACAAGGCGAAAAGTAAGTTCGGCTGAGATTAAAGTTAGTCTGTTTTGACGAAAAAGCTCAAGCAGTGAAAACTTAGGGGAAATAAGGGTAAGCAGCCATTTTGAAACTTAAGCAATGCAGAAAATTCCGATTGGTCGAAATTCTCAAGTCTTACTGTTTAAATTTCTTCGTGTGTTCGGGCCTTTACCTTGTACTTTACGAGAATCAGCCCAAGGCCCGGTTTCACCAAACGTCGCTCAACATTAATCTTACAATTGGTATAATTCACGTTTGTCTCTTTCTAAAGTAACAGGTGAAAAGAGACAAAGAACGAATTAAACGAAGCTTAAAGTCAAGCGACGTCGGCGAGGCTGGATCTTAGAACTAGAAAGAGATGAAGGGCAAGTTAAACCGAGATTAAAATAAATGTATATCGCTAGAAGCGTGCTATGGTGACGTTGAGGGAAAATGACAGTCGAGAATGCAAGCAGCCATTTCGAACGCCTGAGTGGAAGATTCTCAAGTCGTAAGTTTACTGAAATTCCGTCGTGTGTTTAGGATTAGAACTCGGAGGAGGGGGGGGGAAAAATCCCGCACGGTCGGGTCGCGTGACGCTCGTAGCCAACGCTACTCCACTCGGGCAGCGATTGCGCCGTACAAACGCCTGGACTGGTAGCGTCTGGAGGGTACGCGCGGGGCGGCGGGGTGGGGCAAGGCTATAAAAAGGCGCAGGTGAGGGGCGGAGGCCAGTCGGCTTCGATCCGTCAGGCGATCGTGTGTGCGCGCGCTCCTCTCTCGCCACGCTCCGGTCACGCTCGGCCTCTGCGTACGCTCTCGTTCGCACCAATTCGCGAGCTCTCGCGTCGTAGCTGTCACTCGAGGAGATGACGCGGTGAAGCGAGCGCCACAGTGTGTGATCTCGTCCGCAGGCCCGCGCTCGAGCGAGAGGAAACGTCGCTCCACGGAGACGCGAGAAAGACGACGACGACTTCGCGGGGCGGGGGACAGCCATTCCGTGCATCCGCTCTTCGCTCCTCACGTGCATTTGCGCCTCGGTGCCGCCGGACTCGGCTGTCGCTCCGGCGATCGATAAGGCACGCGCGCGCGCGGCGGGTGGTGTGTATGTGTGTGTGCGCGGGGTGGCGCGCTGTCGTCGAGCGATCGCTCAGCACCAGCGTCGGCGGCGGCGGCGGCGGCAGTGCGCTCGCGGAAGAGACATCGTCGGGAGGAAGAAGCGAGCGCCGCGCCGTCGGATCGATCGGTCCCGGCAGTCCTCAGTGAGCTCGTCGCCGCCGCTACCTGCATGAAGGCGATGGTGGTGAGCCCGGTGAGCGGCAGGATGCCGCCCAACCATCACCGCGGCGTGCTGCACAACGGCCTGGGGATCGGCGGCACCAGGCGCGACCTCGAGGCCGAGGAGGTGGCCGCCTACCTGACCAAGCTGCGCTCCCTCGTGCCGGACATGCCGCGCAAGCGGAAGCTGTCCAAGCTCGAGGTGATCCAGAGGGTGATCGAGTACATCTGCGACCTGCAGACCGCCCTGGAGGAGACGAACGCCGCGCACCAGGACGCCAAGACGACGACGCCGACGACGGCGACGGCAGCGGCAGCGTCGGAGGCGTCCGAGGCGGCGGTGACGGCGACGACGACGCAGTCCTCGAGGCAACCCCTGCAGCCCCTGCTCAACGCCACCGCGGCGTCGGTCGCCGCGACGACCACCGTGACGGTCGCCGACCGGTGACCTGCCGGCCGGACCCACTAGGGTGTTCTGGTCGCGCCGAGGCCACCCTCCTCCTCCTCGCGGATTCGGTAGAGATCGCTTCCGCTCCTGGAGAGAGAGAGAGAGAGAGGACTATCCACGCTCGACTCGGGCCACGGGGGGAGGGGGCGTCGAGCGTCGCCCGGAAGAGAATCGTCGGGGACCATCCGAGGGGCGCCGCGCCTACATCCGAAGACGAGAGAGAGAAAGAGAGAGAGAGCGAGTTTCGCGCCGGTTTCTCAAGCTCTAATCTTCCCCCTCCGCCGCGAGGGGGGGTAATTGTAAATACATTTGTACATACGCTCATCGCATTCCACACGAGATCTCTCACACGGTTATAAGGACCCGGCACGAATCCCCCCCCCTTCCCCCTCCTCTTCTCCCGTTTCTTTTACTCCGCTTAGGATCCTGTCATTCCGATTTCTTTCCCTCGCCGACCGCGCGAGTCCCGCCGGCGTTCGCTGGCTCCTCCGTCGTGAGCTCCACCGTGCGAGATCGGGTGGCCGCGGGTCAGGACTCGCTCGGCTCATCCTGCGCTCCCCGTCGGACGCGCGCACGCGTCCGCGTGCACCGGGCGCGCTCGAAAACGCTCGTTACACTCGAGTCATTACATAGCGCGCGCGCCCCGCCCAGTCGGTCTCGCCGATCGATCGCCTTTTCTCGCGGAGAGGTCCTTCCTGGGTACCCACAATCGTGGAAGTGTTCGGCACGGATTCCGATCGGAGCTTCGTTCCCCCCCCTCCCGTGGAAAGCGCAATGGAGATCTAGGAGATAATTGAACGATTCCGAACACTTCCACGACAGGTATCCTGGAGAACGCGGACAGCGGGGAGGGAGAAGAAAAAGAAAAGAAGCTCCGCTCCTCGGAACAAAGCCGCGTGCCGGTCTTCCTCCTGGAGCTCGATTGGCGACCGTCCTGCCAATCGACGAGTCTCCGAGCCGCGGGAGCTGGACACGACGCGAGGCGAGGCGAGACGACCGATCGATCGGGCCGGAGGTTTCGACGGGGTCCAGTTTGATTTCCCCGTCGAGTTGCCGCGCTCCGTCGCTGGTGTCCCCGACTACTTGTATAGTTGTCGCTATGTCTCGTTGTTAGTAGCCTCTTATATTATAATTTAGAAAGCGCTGACACCCCCCCGCATCCTCCTCGACCCGCGTAAATATTGTATGTATATTTGCAAAGACTGAAGGGCTGTAAGTACATCATTGCGCGGGCGTACACGTACACACACACACACACACGAAATAAATGCAAGCTGTGTCTATAAGTTAAGTCTCGTGCGTTTGTTTTTGTCTTGCGATTGGCGCAACTCCTGCCCCCCCCCCCCCCCCCCTGGCGGCCTGTCCTGTCGATCGCGGGTGAGCGCGAATTAAATAAACCGATCGAGTTACAGATAGTTCCATAATCCCCTCGGAGACTGTCGGTGCTTTCCACGTGGCGACACGAGCGTCGGTCAGGTTTTTGTTTTCCAACGTCCAGCACGCGAGGATAAAATGAAACCCAGGCTACGGATAGAGCGCACTTGGAAGTTCGTCGGGTCAGCCGTATGTTGAGACTCGAAAATCCTGAGGGTCTGTCAACAGTGTCAACTCGCGTAAACTACACGGCCGGTCTCTCGCGCGCGCGCGGTTCCAGCTACGCTTATACTTGGCGCGAGATACCGTGTCTCGTGATAGAGGAAGGTTCCTTAAGGTTCCTTAAGCCCGTATCGGACTGCGGATTGGGATTAGATTGAAATTCGGCCAGTCGCAGTAAAGTCGACTAATCTCAAGTTTAGCGACATTTACTCCAATTGGTCAAATTTCAATCTAATCCCAATCCGTAGTCTGATACGGGCTTTATTATTATTATTATGAGGCTCCTGACGTGAGATAGCGGGTTTTCAATAATCCAACTTCGCAACCTTCTCTCGCGCGTGATCCAACAATGGATTTCCCACTAAGCAGATCACGCTCCAATAAGTTCGCGGTGGAACCAACAAGTGACGCTTATTAATTTAGCAGAAACCCCGCTGTCTCCTCGTAGGGGGCCTCTCGTCTATTTGCGTCGATTTGCGTCGGTAAATGGAAAGCGTCGTACATCTCTCTACGAGATCGAGCAACCGGAGATCGTCAGTGTCGAAGAGATAGACATTTGTTGTATGTACGTACTCGCTTTCGTCTTGAGAACGACTGCGGGATTCTTCGCCGACTCTGTCCGAAGGTCGAGTAACGCGAACATTACGCACTCGCTAGGATTAAAATAAGTGTAAATACATTTCTATTGTCCTCTTCTGAATTAAAGGCAAGACGCATTTATACGCCTGTGTGTATTTCTCAGAGTAAGCTCGAGCCCCCCCAGCCCTCGATTCCCGGTGCGGTCCCGCGAGACCGTAAATCCGCGAGGATTCGACGATATCGGGAACGGAAACCGGATGGCGGCGAGGGGCGGCGAGCGGACGGGAGGGCGGGGGGGGGGCTAAATGGGCGCACGTGCGCGCGACAATCTACGCACACGTGCGAGGTGACACACGGCC